AAATAAATTATGTCCTAATGGCTAATTCAACTCAAGATGGCAAAAAACTGGAGGAGATGTTTGGGGGAGGATAAATATTGCAATCACCTTGAACTTGTAGTTAGAAAAGCCCCCAGCTATGTTACATTGTTCCAAAAAACTAGTGTAACCAAGGAATCTTCAATTTTAGTACTAATGGAACTCCCAGTCATTTTGTTAAAAAAAAAATAGAACAGAGAGGTAAAAAACTTCAGGCTCCTTATTCTATTCCCTAATTGATAAATCTTCGCCAAACTTCTTGTTGAGCATCTCTAGAAAATCCTTCCTATTGGCAGCATCATTTCAGGATTTCAGTTGACTTTATAAGAAAGGACAGATTATAGACTCTGTATCACTCACTCAAACAGAGGACTAATAACCCAAGCATGAACACATTCCTAAATTGAATATACTCCCCACATCATTAAACAATAAACTATGATTAAATTGTGCACGTGCACATAATATAATGATCAATGAAATTAAAAGAACCTCAAGAACTCTAATAGGCTTGGCATCTCTTCGTTCTTTTCCCTCTACGTTCTCTTTCTGTCCTTCTGGTAACATTGGACTCCCACATTCATTTGATAGTTTTTCACGAGCATCACAATCTGTATTGCACTTTTCATCATTTGTTGCAGATTCGTTAGAAGCTTCTTCCATAACAATTTCAGAACCATTATTTTCAGAAATCTTTTGTGCTGATTTGGCTCTTCTTGATATTTTCGTTTCATGCTCCTGCTTGCGTTTTGATATAAATGCCCTAAGGACAGCTATGGATAGGTCTCTGTTGTTAACCTGAGTATTACAGCACAGAACAGTCAAAAGTCTACAATGGAAAAAAGCTTCAAGCTATACGGGCAGTAAAGAGTAAAAAAAAGGGAAATGAAAATCGAAAAGCCACACAGATAGAACAAAGTTGGTAACAGTTTTCATTAAGGAAAAGGAGAACTGCCAGTTACTCTTAATTACAGAGGGAAAGCTGGGACTTCAAAACAAATTATGTAGTAAAGAGCAATGATTTAGCTAATGCTGCTGCCAAGAATCTCAAAAAGAACTATAAGTTATTCTTAAGAATAAGGATATTGCTACCACATAGTGCAAACTGCATGGAACAATATATTTAAATTTATCATACCACATTATACTTCGATGATTTAAATAAATTGTATATCTTAATTTCTCCATCAAATATCAGTTATTTAAATACACTAACATGCTGAAGTTTCGAGATAGTAGCAACACCTAAAAAGCCTCTTCACTTCATCAAAATATAAAATTTCCCAAAGCTACCTCTTCTCCCCCAAGCTTTCCCATTAAAACAAGAACAGAAGTCAAATCTTAAATATTTTCCAAATCAATAACCGCGCCAAACTTTAAATGCTAGAAACAATCATATGTAAATCATTTTCCCACCACAATAATCCATGGAAAACTTTTGACTGGCCTATTAATTTTAACAAAGAACAACGCCTAAACTCCAAAACTCCAGAAAACCATTATTCAAGTTAAAAAAGGCACCTGGGTCTTATTGAAAAAGACTTCATTCTTCGCGTGCATGAGAATCTCAGCCTCTCCCTCCTTGATGATGGTGAATTCACTAAGATCTGTCGCCATTATTGCGGCTCTCACATGCAACGAAAAACAGTTTCTAGGATTCTTCCTTCTTCCGCTCCTTGCTAGTTTCGAGGGTGGTCAAAGCAGAAGGCTACGACCCTGAAAAACCTCCAATACCTCCGCTTCTCTTGGTTTTGAGAGCTTCGTGTGATGGTTTCAGAGCTGCAGTTAGATAAACAAAACCAACCACTGAGAAGAAACCAACACTTAAATATGTTGAATATGATTCATGAACTGTAATTTTGAACAGCGGAACCCTATTGCCACTACTCAATTGCTGCTTGACAATTGAAAGTTCCCTCAAATTCCGCGCACGATAATATTCTTCGATCTTGAACCTTAAACCCTAATCTCCAATCCACGGCTAGAGGCTGAGGTTTTGCGCCAACTCAAATGTTAACATTTAAAAACGTTAAATTTAATTTTCTTTTCTTAATATAAAAATAAATTATACTTTCTAGATTAAATTATAAATTTCATACTTAAATTCTATTTAATCTCCAAATCTTCCGAGAATGTTCAAAATTCATGTTTGAACCTTTTAATCAAGATATTGATATTGAGACCGTGATCAAATTCATGATTAAATGATTTATGACATGTTTATTGAACGATCATTAGTTAATTTGATATAATAGAGTAAAAAAACATAAATAACTAAAAAAAAAATAAGAGAATATATTGAATAAATTCGATATATTAGTTGAAAAAGATCCTCGTCTGTCCATCATATAAATTCAAATTATCTTTGTGTGATGTTTGAGTCAAAAAAAAATATATAAATGAATAACTAACAGTAATTTTCATAATATTACTATTTATACCAACAATGTGCAAAATTTATTTTAATATGTGAACAGTGATATAACGAGCTAAAATGACTCGAGCTAGTTTGTGGAATTAATCTCTGATCTTAGTAGCCGTCCAAAACAAATAGTAATGTTGTACTTGTAGTGTTTTAGGTGTTGGCCCTAACCATAACTTTTGAATAGGGTAATAAAGTAAGTTTCTTTTGCATTGCACCTTCTCGAAAAAGAAAGAAGAACCCTAAGGATTATATTATGTGGAAGGTAACAGTTGGTGCAGTTCTATTGGATTGGATGCTATTTTGAGTGAAACATCAACAACCCACTTTGTTTATTTCGTGCTTCAATTCAAACCAAATATGGATTTTTGCTGTCATTTAGCTACTTTCTGAGACCCACGAAGTACAATGATTTAGAATATAATGTTCTTTTTTCTCCATCGTTAGGATTTTGTTAAATCTCTTAAAATGTGATTACACAATCACGTATAATTTTGATTTTTAATCATAAGAAATTAAAAATAACGTTTCTTATTAATAATTTAATTAAGATCGAACCTCATATTTTTACTTTAACTAGTTCAGTTGTGTCAGGTTATCTGTGAGATTCCACGTTAGTTGGAGAGGAGAACAAAACATTTTTTATAAGAGCGTGGAAACTTCTCCCTAACAAACACGTTCTAAAAAGAGGGTGGATTGTGAAATCCCATATCCAATTGGAAAAAGGAGAGTGTCAACAAGGACGCTGGCCCTAAAAAGAGGTGAATTGTGAGATCTCACATTGGTTAAAGAGAAAATAAAACATTATTTATGAGGGTGTGGAAAACTCTCCCTCACAGACGCCTTGAGAAAAAACCTGAAAGGAAAAGCTTAGAGAAGATAATATCTGTTGGCGGTGGATTTAGACGGTTTACATTATCGATCATACTACTACTATCAATCATACTACTATCATAGTATCTTGTCAATATAATTCCAATTAAATCCTGCTCCTACTATGATTAGCCTTTTAAGTACACTCTCCCTAACACCTTCATAAATAATTAAGATAATGTCTTCAACTTAGCTTACACCATCATCATTTTCTTTACTTCACATATAATGTTATTTTATAGAACACAAAGTACAAACATGTAAGGTTCTAATTGGGTGATCAAAAGATAAATATGACAAACTGATGAGGACCATATATGAAGGGGTAGAGAAACCAATAACATATTTGAACTAAAAGTCCTATAGGTAGGGGAAGAAAAAGAATGAAACGGAATCACCAATAAGATCTGATTTAAAGATCATATCATACTCAAAATGATAGATAATGAAAGGCATAATCAATGGAAGGAACTGAATGAATTGGGTGTATAAATAGAGGTTAAAGGCAGCCATTGATGCCACAACAAGCTTTTTGTTGTTACATAGCAGAAGAAGCTGCAGCAGCAGCAGAAGAAGATATAAAAATGGATGCAGAAGAAAAAGAATGGAGGAAGGGGCCATGGACTCCTGAGGAAGACAAGTTGTTATCTGAATACGTGAAAGTGCATGGCGAAGGAAGATGGACTTCTGTTGCCACTGGTTCACGTAAAAACATATTCTCTTCCTTTTTTTTTTTTTCCTCTAAACTAGAAGATTAGAGTTAAAGATGTAAAATCAATCTTTTTCAGGCTTGAATAGAACAGGAAAAAGTTGCAGATTGAGATGGGTGAATTATCTTAGACCTGGTCTTAAGAGAGGCCATCTCACTCCTCTTGAGGAAGGCATTGTCATAGAACTTCATGCTCTTTGGGGTAACAAGTAAGTAATTATTCTATAACAGTCCATTAAGCTTTTCCAAACCCCCTCTTTGGACTCTTTCTTTATGAACTTCCCCTCAAGGTTTTTAAAACGCGTTTGTTAGGAGAGGTTTCCACACCCTTATAAAAAATGTTTCATTCTCACCTCTATAACTGATGTGAGATCACATAATCTGCCAACCTTCGAAGCCCAACATCCTCGTTGGCACTCATTCTTCTCTATAATCGATCGATGTAGGATCCCACATATTTCTCTCTCTAACATTTTTCTTACCCATCTCTCTTAACCAAATGGATAATGTTTTAACTGACAGATGGTCAACCATAGCAAGATATTTACCGGGAAGAACTGATAATGAAATAAAAAATTACTGGAGAACGCATTTCAAGAAGATGAAGCCAAAGAGAGAGGCTCAAATGGTTGTTCCAAAACCAGACAACAAAACATCAGCACCAATCAGCTTTGAACAAGACAGAGAGGAGAAAGATATGATGAAGCTATGTGAAAGAGACAATGCTGAATTAGGGATGGTTTTTACAGAGCCTGCAGCCATGGCGGCTGATCAGAGCTACTTGTCAATGGTGTATGAAGATTTTGCAACTTGGGCGGCAGCTGCGGCGGCGGAAGAGAGCTACTTATGGGGTGGCCTTTGGGAAGATTCAAACAACCTTTTGTAAAGGGGAACCTATCTTTTTAAGAAACAATGTTGACTATAGATCCAACGACATAATACAAGTTTGCTATTAGAATATGGATGGATTATGAACCCTGGGAAGAGAAATGGTCAATGTGACCAAATAAGTATATTTGATGATACAGATCAAGTTCATGATTGGCAATGTTTATCAGATGCCAAAAAGTAATACAATTCATCATCACACAGTATACCGCCTAGATTTAGTCATTTTGATATTTCTATGCTGATGGGAGAATAATGAAAGAAGAATACTGACTGATAAGTTATTGGCAGACTGCATTCAATTCTTCTTCTTCTGTCCTCTGTGTTTCCTCTATTTCATTTCTTTCCATGACTGGTTTCGCCTTCTTCGTATTCACAATGGCCATCGAGTAGAAACTCCCTGCATGAAAATAGCAAGTTGAAGAGAAATGTGCTTAAATGCAAGTATAAACGAGGATATGCATGAAAGAGTAATACTTAATTCGTCCACAAAGGCGTGCTAAAGCATCCGATCCCGTTCTGGATGCAACATCTTCTATTTCGGAAGCATTCTGCAAGTTAACAGTATCAGCAAGCCTGAACTCACACAGCTCCTTCAAGGAACAAGCGTCTGTTAAGACAGCTGAATGTCCACCACCAGCTGCTAGTTTTCGCACTTCTCCCACACACCTGGAAATTTAAAATTTTATAAATGTGAATCTACCATTATGAACACGTAAATAAATATATCGAACAACCGTATACGTACCAATCAATAGGAGATGGATACCAAGCATATGTAGATTTCTCGTTAGCTGCCTGGCCATAGCTATTGTAACCCCACCCATGGATCCTTCCATCCTTCATTGAAACAAGAGTATGTGAATGTCCACAAGCAACATGTAGAACACCATTTGGGACAACTAATACAGGTAGATTTCGAAGAAACTTCTCTGAGTCACCCACGACACATGAAAAAAACCCAGTCTGAGGCCCGAGACCTAATTGTCCAACTTGACCGCCACCCCATGCATATAAAGAGCCTTTTTGAGTAATGGCACATGTGTGGACTCCGCCACATGCAATATCCTTTATCCATATTCCATCAAGAGCAACAACTCTCCGAGGTATCAACTCTTTGTCCACAGACTGAGGGGAACAGTGACCAAGTTGACCCATACTTCCTAGTCCCCATGTATAGCTGAAGGTACAGAGCAAAATTGATAAATAGAGCATTTATGGGATCAAAACTAAAACTAGTCATATACATTGGTTCTAACAAGTTGGTAAATAGGTGTCTTAGTTCCTCGACAATAAGAGTTCAATAGCTTAGTTCCCTTTCCTTCTTTTTTCCTCTAATTCACAAATTTCTTTCGATAACTAACTCGCACAATAGAATTGCACATGCAAAACTCCATGCCTGCAAACTTTCAAATTCCTAAGTAGAAACTACATGAGTTTGTCACCATAAATTGACACAACAAATCAATGATGCACCAATCATGAGTATGTGTGAATGGCATGCACTCATGTTTTGACATTAAACACATAATTTGAAGAAGGAAATTCTATGTAAGAACTTCTTCATTTGATAGTCAATCAGTGGAACGGGTGTCCCCAACATCACAGTGCATTGATCATCCAATTTATTCTCCATTATATGGGAATTCTGTTAGAAGATTACAAACCTTGAGACCGATGTGATCTGTGGATGACCACAGTTCACAAACTTAAAAATAAAAACTTCTTTTCCAGTTAGTTTGTCCTTTGGATCACTTACACCTCGCCGTTTTCAGATATAGCTGCAGAATGGTACTCCCCACACGACACTTTAGTAATCTTTACAAGCTCAGGGGCCTCATCAAGGAACTTTGCATAAGCACTTATAATGCGAGCTCCTTGTAGACCTTCGGATGTAACACCCCTGCCTAGCTGACCATACTCATTGTAGCCTGGTCAACCAGAATAGGTATTGTATTATTATTGAGGTGGCAGGAAACTAGATAAAAACTCACTAAGGATAGATTCCCAATATTCAAGGTTCTCTCCTGCTTTCAACTCACTACGAGTAGATTCCCAATATACAATAGCATCACCAAATGTATACAAGTAGAAATCAACTTCACTAAAAAAATTCTTGAACTTTAAAAGGTCAACTTTAATGAAATCCAGATGAACTCACCCCATGCTTGCATTTGCCCATCATCCGATAATGCCACTACATGAACTGCCCCACAGGACACTTGACGAATAATCTACAGAAAATAGAATGTCCTTGGGTAATTGTTTTAAGGAATATTAACTGCGAAGTAGTAATCAACTATCATTTTCATTGTATTATCTTATAACTCTATATCATGTTAATTCAACACTAAATTTTGTATCAGCTGAAGACAGTTCTATATTATCACATGACACTGTTGAATCGTAGAGGAACTTCAACATAGAGAAGAGAAACAAAATAACAAAACAGTTATTACATTGAATTAGTTGAAGCCAAGGTTATTAGAATAGTGTGAAAATTTAAGGAGCAAATAAGGCAAGGTCTTCCCAAAGTGATTAAAACGATGGATGCCTCTCTCACAGAGAGGAAGATGCAAGAATGGTAGACAATAAATGAGAGAAAATTAACTAGGCTCGTTATTGGAGAAATAAAATAAAAAAGAGAAGAAAAAGTGAAAAAGAAACTGACAAAATACTGAGATTTTTAAAAAATTTAAATATATACACGATAGACATATGATATTAGCTTACTAAATATTAGAAACATACCGTGTTTGGTGTGAAGGCTCCCCAAAATAAGCGTGGCAAATTGGATCCCTGTGATAAGAGAGGAGTTGCTGAAAATGCAGAAACGTTTACAAAAGAACATCAATATTTAAAACAAGTAAACTAAAACCTGATTTTGTCCCCAAATCCAGAGTCTACTAGTTGAAATCGTGCCATCATTCACGCGAGGTTCTGCAATAGCAGCAGTACAATGTGCTCCACAGGAAACAGATTTCACAAACTCCATCTGCAATTGCTTCACTTTCTTTGGCTCTTTGCTCTTTTCCTCAGTTCCATCCCCCAGTTGACCAAAATCATTTGCACCTGATAGTTATTATTTGAAAAGGAAAAAAAAATCCTATATCAAAACCGAGCACCTTCACGTGCACTGCAGGGGAAAAGAAAAACACACAAATTCAGCAAATAAAAGGTTCAAGCAGACAAAGAGGAGCCAGATGAACGCCCGTGGAAACCAATACACAAATACAACATCGTTCCCATTTAATATTGCTAGAATTCATTGATCTGAAACTTTTGGGTAACGTCAGATGAGTCACAGGGTACCACAAATAATCAAGCTCTCATTGATATCTGCTAAAATTATTGTCATTGTCCATATGTTATTATTTCAATTTTCCGAATGGTCCGAAAATTTGGAATAAAACCCAAAAGATTGGAGAAAGAAGCCTGTAGTTCCAGGAGCTTTAAACGAAAGAATAAACTTGCTTATAAACATATCAAAAGAAACGAAATCTCGGGTCATCAGAAACATTTTATTAACAGAAACAGAGAGTAGGAATAGGTCAAACCCCAGGTAAAAAGTGACCCATCAGAAGCCACAGCAGCCGTATGTTCACGACCACAATCAATATCCAGCCATCGACAATTAGCTTCCACTGGGCATCCAAAAAGATCAGGACGGAGCTGCCTAGGAACCCTTAATTGATGATCCTTCCCCTTTCGACCCGTCTGGCCCGATTGATTATAACCCCAAACATAAATTGCACTCTTTCTTGGCAGGCTACTATTCTGGGTCATCCCAAACACATCGTTAATATCCATTTCTTGCCCCTAAAAGATTCGAAAAATTCCATGGACAACAAATAGTTCAGCTCCAAGGAAGAAATCAAACAGAAATTGGAAATGAAAGATATCATGCAGAAAAGAAAAAATGAAGGCCACTGCATTATTCGTTCTAATTTCTCAAGCCTCATTCCAATCGATGGACCGACGACAAAAAAAGGAAAATCGAAACTACTCACGAAAAGGCCGGACCTTTTCCTGAGTTGTCGTCAGCCGTATGACATGATTCAGACAGTAAAAATATGTGAGAATTTAAAGAGAGAGATTATTAGAGGGAAAGCGGAGAGTACCTGAGGAAAAGGATCAGAGAAGAAAGTTTGAAATGGAAAGGAAGTTAGAAGGAAAGGAAATAAATAGTTGCAAGAAAACGATCGCCGCTTTCTGTTGTTCCGCGAAACTTGGAGATGGGGCGGGTTGCCTGGATAAGCCTAGTATTGGGCTCGGCCCAACTCTTCTGCATTCGGCCCTTCCTATGAATATAAATATTACAATTTACAAACATAAAATTTCATCAAAATATCATCCCTTCAAGCAAGAGCGAGTATTCATCCTTCTCCTGATCACTACCGTCGCGAAAGTCGGGATTACTGCTTGAAATCTCCTTTCCTTCAAGAGCAAATGGAATTACGTCTTGTGGACATTTATTATGGAGGCAGCCGGCGCTGTTTTGAGTAATTATTTTTCGTGTTTATCGGTTTTTGGATCTGTGTTCGCTTGTCAAATTGAAGTTTGAAGGAATCCGAGATTAGAAATTCGTGATCCCGCTTGTTGGCGAAATTTGGCGGTAGAACTAGGGTACGTATCCTGTTCCACCATTTGCTCATCAAGCGATCCGTGATCTGTTTTTATCAATGTGCAGGAAATTTGTCGATGCTTACTAGTTCTTTTTGTTGCCTTGAAGGCGTGTTTGTGTCTTAGGATTACTGGATCTATGATTTTGTGTAATTAGGAGTTGAATTTGCATTGATTCTGTTGCTGCTGTGAGATTGAATTTGCTATTACTTCAACCAGAGAATACCAAGACAATGTTGCCTGAAATCTTCACACGGTTTCTTTTCCTTAAACGATCTCTTATGTCATTTCTAACCAAACCTCTGAAAAGATGAGTGAAGATATTATGAGCGTCTTGGAAAACCAACAATCTCTTAACTATTGTTAGTAGTAATTACTAGGGCTATACAAAATATTATTTATTCATATAAAATTCTTATAACATTTACTCTTATTTGGAATAAATTCAATTAATTAATTCATCCTAATTTATAAATAATTATAGTTTATTATTTGATTATAATAAATCTATAATATATATATATATATATTATTATGCCGACAAAAAAAAATATTAAATAAATAAATTACATATTTCCTCAAAATTAATTTTATAAAATTGGTTGGTATTCTTATACATTGATTGGTTTTTATGAGTAGCAGCTTCACACACCTGGTAATCATTGGGATTTCGGATTCTAGTTAGAAAGCTATTCGGATTCTAGTTAGAAAGCTATGTCTGGAGAACGCTTTTCTTCTAACTAAGGCAATTGGTCTCTCATGTTGGATATAGATAGGTCGACGTTGCCAATGCAAGTTAAGCGCGTAAACGACCTTATTCTTGGGGTTGACATTAGGAGAAGCAAACTGATAGTGGAACTAGTGGACCTTTTACTTAATTGGCATGTGGTGAATATCTATAAATTTTGTCGGTTTTTCATCTCATTATAAGCACAACTTTGTTTTCATCGAACTAACTATTTATTTATGAGAATTGTTCATCACACAACTTGGCTTTGGAAACCAACTTAAGCATATAGCATTAAAGTCTGGGTTTTAATGACAATTTGATCGAGTCTGCCCAGTTTAAGTTGAAGCAAATTTCAAAAAGAAGATTTTCATTGATCAATGCCATTGTCCACACACCTCAACGCATAATCCCAAACAAAGACCTAAGCACAAGGAATAAGCTGAATTGAACTCAATATGATTGAATGATTTAAGCACACCCATCACGGTTTCCTTTTCATTCAGAAGATGAGATGAGATGATTGAAAGGTGATCATATTCCATTTTCAAGAAAAGAAAAGGAAAAAACATCAAACATGGGATGGAAAGATTTCTCAGTCATTCACAATAACACCTGTTTTTCTTCCCCTATTAACATCATATATTTTGGTGAAACATCGGTTTCAACAACTGTATAACTTAGAAATAATCTTTGAATCTCTTTGAAAAATGAAGAACAAGAGAGAGAAAGAGAGAGGAAACAGATGGATCCAACCTTGGTTAGACTTTCATTCATAATATTTACTATGGTTGAAAAATATTATCCTGCAATATTCACAAATCACCATCTTCCTGTTGGTTATTATGCCCGAGGTGCTGCTGCTGCTGCCGCCGCCGCCGCCGCCGCCTTCATCCACGACACGAACAATCAAGTCGTTTCATCAAATGCCATTACCTAAGATATTCAAACAGTGGCATGAAACAAAAGTTAATGAGACCCATCCAAACTTGGGCTGTTTCCTTCCTACTCCTAGTTTACAAATCAAATAATCTTATGCTACTATTAATCAGCTCATCAAAAGAAACAGAAAACCCCACAGATTTTAAACACAAAAACATCAACAAGGAATGATTTTATACTATGTAAGATAATACGCCATTTTATACTTAGAGATGAGCATCTAAGGATCGCGTTTCAAGATCATTCCCCAAAGCTTCACCAGTGTAGGAGCTGAGGAAAAGAACATCAGTTATTATACCAAAAAACGCCGAAGCACTACCCGACCAATTGAATATCACAAAATGGTGTATTGTATCAATCAAGCATAAATATTTACATCAAAACGAGATCAACTAGTGCCCAAGGGGTGGCCCCTCCGCAAAAGGCGCACGACACCTACCCAAAGGTCACATGGGGTTTCAATCCTAGGGGCGGGTGTAGGTGCCCCCAGGTTAGCTTGAGGACCCTCAGGTTATCAACAAAAACAAAAAATGAAATTGAATGATCCCATTCTAAGAAGCACATAAGAAAAAGAAAAATGATGTGTTCTCTTAAACTTCTGATGTTCTACAAGTTTTTTTTTATAGGAGTTATTATAACGTAGCTTAATCAGTCGGTTCCGAGCGAAGATGACACAAGGATAGGATAGACATAAATAAATGGATCGTATAGACCATCTATGTTAACTAGACATTTTTTCAATTTCTAAACGAACCACGATGGTTCTGCAAATCCGGAATAGTCCTTATGCTCAATCCATACTAAAGTACCAAGAAATATTAATCTTAAAATCAATTGCATCAAATCATAAAGTCATATTTTGCCAAATAATAGCGACGCTTGCGATACACAGAACTTCCAAAACATAAAAAGATCCGAACATCAATCTGAGTCACTCGAACGCAACTAATAGGGTGGCTTTGAGATAGGTATTGAACAAGCTCATATGATATGATGGAGAAAAAGACGCATACCTTGCCACAAACTGGGCAGTTATCACTTCTCTCCATCCACTCATAGATACATCCAAGGTGAAAGTGATGACAGCATTTTGTCAATATCTTGGGATTCTCTGAGGTGTATTCTGCTAGGGAAAAAAAGAAAATTTAACGAGCAGAATGAAATTTCGGCATGTCAAAAAACGTGTGGATTAGTAACTTGTTTATCCCCTATAAGCTCAAAAAAACAAGAATATTGAGGGCCAAAATCATAGATTTTGATGAGCAATTAAATAAAATCAAGGATAAAATGAAGTTATCAAAAAAATCAACCTTCAAGACATGTTGGACAGACATCCTCGTCTTCCGAAGATGTATAAGCATACCCTGCTCCAGTGGTAGATTTAGTTGATGGGATCTTTAGAGATGACTTGCCAAGATTTTCTTTAGATTCGTCAAGACAAGCAGATCCATTCCATTTGCCTGCCGAGCCCAAAGATTCTGAATCTGTATCTACTTCACCTCTTAGAGGTTCTGACTCCTCATGTAAATGGCTTGAGCCCTTCTCGCGCCTAGAAATCAATCCATCCCGCTGCAAGCGGATGTATCTGGGGTCAGCATCATATGGCAATGGCCTTGGAGGTGAGCGGTATATTTCAGATAAAGAGTTGTCTGTCGATGATGCAGAACTCATGGATGTTGCCCCTTGAATTGATGAAGAGACAGGATGCACTTCTCCTCTTCGAAAAATCAATGTGTACTAGAGAAAATAAGACGGAAAGCAGAGTCATACGATTATCATAAGAACAAAGTTCGTAACTACATCTAAACACTTGTGACACTTGAGAAACAACTTACAAGCGCTTATACAATGAAGTGAGAAGCATTAATGTTCACGACATTTTCTTCGAATTTTGACCATTATTAACATTCGAACAAAACACGTTGTTGAAATATATATTCATAAATAAAGAAATTTCCGTCCTTCATAGTGACACAATCGCAAAATAATGCAACGAAAATAGGGCTTACGGCATTTAAGAAATTCTGAATGAAGCAACTAAGACAGGTGCAATTCCTATATACCGAACTATTAGGATTGACATAGTCTTCAAAATCGTCCATGCTCAAACAGCAGCAGACAGCACCCATTGTGCCAACGCCTACAAATCTCTTAAAATTCTCGATTATCTAATCCAGCAGATTCCCAAGTCAACAGATAGATCAATTCAGCTATTCACTTGCATTCAAGTTCAAAATTATTGGCCAATGATTATGTTGGCAAATGGATACGAGAGTACATAAGCCCGCAGAAGTACTATTTCCTCCACGAACTAGTACCCTCCCTCTTCAATTTGAATAAACTGGATTTTCAAACTGTGATTTTCACCTGTAAAATAAGCAGCCACAGTTCAGTAAGACTGATAATGAAATGAGGATCCCAAGGGATTATCCTTAAACCATCTATGATGCATAAATGCCTATGCGATCGCCAAGAAAGCAAGTCAAATCAAAAAAATTCTACTAAGATCGTTCATTAAACCAACAATCGGCATTATTTCAAGGAACATAAATCTGTCGGCAGCAATCCTTTGCTACAATCATCACAGTAATGAAACAAAAATTTGTTGAAACAGCCAGAAATCAATCAAAGGGTTAATAAAATGCCATAATCTTCGCCAAAATTACCCGCTCGTCTAACGAAATCGAGATTTTTTTTCTGGGTCACCTCTGAAAACACATATTCTTTCCTTCAATGAGGAGGAAACAAGATACCTTGACAACATCAATAGCATACCAAGCTGATCATGATCATCAAAAACTATTGAAATTATACGACAATCCCACAAGAAAAAACTCAAAAAATGACCGATCGGACCATGAATACGCACAAATCATGAAAAAAACTGAGAATCCCAATACAGAACAATAAAAATTTGGGGCGATCATCGGGATGCCCTTGAACTATTCATACGAAAAAGGAGAAAAATAGAAGCGCACCTTGGAAAGAGCAGTAAAGTGGAGGGAGAAGAGAAGACCGAAAGAGAATACGATCTTCGGTGGGTGGGTGGGTGGAGGACAGAGAAACCTGGAAGACGGAAATTGGGAGAATATACGGAAAATATATACGTGCACTTTTTGGGAAAAATCACGCACGCAGATAATTCGGATTTTCAAGCTAAATCAAGATTGCGCGTTTGAAGGGGCGTTTAGATTGGAAAAAGGAATTGAAGGCAATGAAATTAAAGCTACGAATTCCGCAAAAATAAAGCTACTGCCCTCTTCCCCTCTTCCCCTCTGTTTATCTCTATATCGCGCTCCCGGTGACTCCTTCGCTTCGATGGTTTTGTTCGATAGAACGCTCTAATTTAATCTCCACTGTGTTCTACTCCCCCAAGAACTGCTACGAATTTAGAATTTGGTACCAATTTCAACCTAAATTTATTTTCGGGATTTGAATCTTCATCAACCGATAAAAACATTTATTATCCTCTCTCGAATCAAATGTATAATAATTTGTCTCCTGCTAAAAAGGATAAAATAATTTTGTTCTTGCTTGGGAAAAGATTTCAC